AGTCTGAGTAGAATGCCCTCTTCTATATGCCGACTGGTAAGGATCGTAAAGATTATTATCCTCTAAATAGTCCTGAATCTGATTGCACACCGTTCGCTCCATGATTTTTGACAACGTCGGAAGAATGGCAATCGGCCTATAGTGCTGCAGAGCTGTGGGGTTGCTAATCTTAGGTATTGGACATACAACAGCCTTCTTCCACACTCCAGGAAAGATGCCATGAGATAAAGAATAATTAAAAATATGCTCTATTATTGGCATGATGTATGGCAAGATTAGACAAATAATATTCAACGGTATATTATCACATCCAGCGGCATTGGTTCTTATTTTAGAAACAATAGTTCGTATCGATTGTGGAGTAACGTGCGTCCAGTAGAACTTACTATCGTCAAAAACACTCTCCATAGACGTTCGGAGATGCTGATGTAGATCCGCGGTATCAACAGAAGAGCCACCGGAGTTCTGCACAAAGAAATTGTTAAGCTCTTCTACCGGAAAGGCCAGACAACCACCAGAACTCTTCGCCCTGACGAGACCCAAATGTCTCAGATGTCCCCATATAGTGGATGGATCTTTCTCCTTCTTAAATATTCGCAAATAATACGTGTTCCTAGCAGTACGCACCAGTTTTTGTACATGATTGCGCAATCTCTTGAAAACCGTATAAAGATCATGGTTTCCTGTTCTTCGCCATCTTCTGCGTGTACGATCCNTCTCTCTCATTGCAGCCTTTATGTCATCAGTAAGCCAGGGCGCAGGAAAACTCTTAAAGCTCCTCTGCCGTATAGGTGCATGCTTATCCATACATTGTAATATGTAATTATTCAATTTGTCAACTTTTTCATCCACAGATTCTGAAGTCATGATACTGTTCCAGTCCTTAGCTTGTAAATCCAGAAAAAAGTCCGCCTCTTTAAAACTCCTGTAGTCTCGACAACAGACTTCACGCCTGAAAACACGTTCGCAACTGATTTTGTAGTGTATAAAAATAAGATCATGAGCCGACAAGAAGGACATGTCATGCTGACCAAAATTTGCGATCTTCTCTGAATCATCTGCAATACATAAATCCAGTAAAGAGCTCGAATTTCTTAAATGATGTGTTGTCTGGTAGGGAATCATGTATAGACCGGATGATTCTATAAACGAAAATAACTGTCTGCTATCGTAACAGTCAACAGACATATCTGCATTAAAATCACCGAAGATGATGGAGTGTCTATAATTAATTTGATAATCCAAAAAGACGTCCTGGAATTCATTGAGAAAGCCGCAGTTAGGTGGCCTATAAACTGTTGCCAGTAGTAACTTAGCAGTAACTTTTAAAGAGACTTCAGCAATAATGTACTCTGGCTTGTTACAATATACTTCATCAGATTTCTTCAGAATAACAGTGCTGATAGTGTTGCGAATGTAAAAGGCAACAGGGGGAAGGAGAGCGAGGAGGAGGTGGAGGAGTCGATACGGATTGCAGATCCGCGGGATTTTCTGCGGGACAAGCGGGTTCGGAGCGCGTTGGAGAGCGGGAGCGAGGAGGTGAAGGCGGCGGATTGTTCGCGGGCGAAACAAGGGAGGATTGAGCGTCTGCGGGGGGATCGGGGGTTACAGGCGAATAGGAGGAAGCTTCATACCACGAATCGTCGTGTGTATGTGTGTCTGTGTGTGTTTCTACGTGTGCGTGATCGTGGGAATGTATGTTAATGTGTGTGTGTGTTGCGGATGCGTCGGTGAATGTGAGTGCGCGTGCGATAGATTCGTGTGCGTATTGGTGGAGTTTCTTATTTCATTGTCGTTGTTGCAATTGTTTCTTAATGTCTGAGAAGGGGTGACGGTGGTGGGCCTGGTCGGCTCCGCTTTGTTTAGCGCGAGAGCTGTCGCTCGACGTAATTTTTGGTTGGCTTATATACAATTTTGAGTAAGCGAGGACTCTCCCAATCGGAAAACTCAGTTGAGCTTTGCTGGTTCCTATTTGTTAATTAGTCGGTCGGGCGACTTGCGAGATCGCCAATCGGCGACAATCTCTCGCTTCGGTCGCCTCGTCTGATTTTTCGGAGAAGGAAAAAGAGAGAGTGTTGCTTTTTCGATCACGCCGCATAGACCCCTTGCTGTTTGCTTATAATAAAAATGCCGGAGTTTCTATTTGCGCCGCTCTAATTTTTATAAGCGGTGTTTTCATGACCCGGAGATATCCGGGTTTGTTTGGAAAGCTGCTCGAATAGTAAATTTTTCTTGCACGTTATCTAAATTTTCGTATTATTGCCAGGCGCGGTTTATCTTTTCGGGCGCCGATATAATTTCCGTTTGCTCTCCTATCGTCTGGAGTTTAAGTTTCCAAACGATAGGAGACCCGTTCGAGTTATTTATTGTTTTTTTATTATTTACAAAAAAGGGTTCGCTATGCGCTGGCGCGTCGCGTCGCAGGAAAAAGGGGACCGTGGAGTTTCCAGGACGTAACATTAATAAGAAATAAGTGGTCTCGCGGACTAACAAGAGAACCTCGCGAACCCAAGAATTCTGATTTTGATAAAACTTTTGCACACATGTAAGGGAAATCAATAGATAAATATTGATATTTCAGTTGCTGCTCAAAAACGGTTTTAAGAGGTGAAATCACTTCTTATATGTAAAGCGGCTTTTTACTTTTCTCAGTTTATCTAAAAACTTATTCAAAATATTAAAAAATGTTTTATAAAAACCTTTTATAGAAAAATATTCTCTATTTATATATAGTCATATTAATGCAATTACACAAAAATAAAGTTTTAAAAAAATTGTTCAAAACATTTATAAAACCAAATTTTTTTAAACAATTTTATTAATGTAGATACATAGAAGCATTCTTACCATAAAACTTTTGTATAAAACATTTTTTGATATCTCTAATAGTTTTCGAAATATATCGAGAAAAGCGCAAAGCCACTTTACACATGAGATGTGTTTTACTCTTTAGAATCGGTTCTTGGCCGTTACCGAAAATGTCTACAATCATGTAGTTATCTATACATGTGTACAAAGTTTTATTGTAAACACATCTTTATGTAATCGCATAGTAATACACTTTTCAAATGAGTCTGTTTACTTATTTATTTAATTAATCTTTTTGTTACCAAGAACGAGATATTTCTGTATCACAATGTCGCTTGAGATGACGCTAATGACGAGATATCTTGCGTCGCAATTTCTATTGTGCTGTGTTATGGACGAGATATCAATAAAATGTCTTTAAATGGATTCTTTATTCTAACTTTTTAGATGACAAATTAAAGTATACGAGATATCTCGTCTATAGCACTTTCAAATAACGAAAGTTGTGACGCGAGATATCTCGTATAAAGCGTCGCATAAATGATATCGTGTTGGCGAGATATCTCATCCGTAATAACAAAAGGATTAATTACGGGAAGAATCTCAAGAAAGGAAAAAATTGTAAGTTAAATTTCGGTGGAAATATGAATATATTACTGATTTTAGTGTTATTGTTATTGTTATTATTATTTCTTTGATCTTTTTTTTTACTTATTAATTTTGTTACATACAAACAAGAAACAATATTTTGAATAAAGAATATTTTAAATCTTCTATTATTGTAATTACAAAAATTATAAATCTTTGTTTGTATTTTTTGTAAGAGACTTTACATAAAATAAATAAATAAATACATAACTAAATAATCATTATCACCATCTCGTTATTAATATATTTGAAATCGATGACTCGGCATGTGGGTCATGTCAATGAGCATGTAGGTTATGTCTAATTCTGTGAATACTTTTACTTACAGGACGTCAGTCTCAAATGTGTTAAAATTGTTTACTTTAATTTGAAAAAATTGCCAAATTATTTCTAATACTTTTATTTCTAATAATTTCATTTGGATCTTTATTCAAGTTATTTATTGTTGCAAATAAGAATACACTAACAGAATTTTACTTTTCTTCCTTTGGTCTTAACATTTTAATTTTTACGTACAAAGAAAATTTAAAACTTTCGTAGAATATTGTAATATTATGAAGAAAATGAGATTCTTTTGTGAAATTATTCGCGTAAATAAGTAACTAAATAAATAATAAATATCTACATTTTGGCATGAAAGATAGCGATAATGAGTTTTTATTTATTTATTTTTTTAACACATTTGAGACCGATAACTCAGCATATAAATGTACTACTAATTGTTTATATATTTAATCTTTTTTATTTAATAATTTTTTTAACATATATTTAGAATAAAAAATAGTTTAAATATTGTATTATTGTAATTACAAAAATTAAACTTTTGTTTTTATTTTCTGTAGGAGTCTTCCTATAAAATAAATGAGTAACTACAAGAATAAATAATCATTGTCAACATTTTGATATTAACACATTCGAGATCGATGACTCAACATGTGGATCATGATATTCTTAAAATAAGAATTGCAGAATGTTGAGAATAGTTTTGTTATAGGACGTCTCGAATACGTTAATTATTTACAGAAAGTATCTCATAAAGAAAGAAAAATATTTGGAAGTTACATATTGTTGCTAATGATAATGTACTAATAATTTTCTTACTTTTTTTCTGTTTTACATTTCTTTCTTTTACATTACATATTTAATTTTTAACTTACACAAAGAATATTCAAATATTGTAATATTTTTAAAAAATAAAATTTTTTTATAGGATTGCTTTTTTTTGTACAATTATTTCCGTAAATAAATAAATAAAGAGATAATAAATGATCATTATCAAAATTTTAACATTAAATTAATTAAATGAGTTTATGAGATGATAAAATAGAATGCTTAAAAACTGCGAGCCAAAACACAAGATGTTTGTGTGAGTGAGTACTTTATTATTCAATAAAACAAAAACAATTACAAACGTTTTGATACCTTTGTTCAGAACTTCATCAATGTATGGGCAAAATTGTATAATAAAAAATCAAAGAAATAACAATAACAATAACAATAACACTAAAATCAGTAATATATTCATATTTCCACCGAAATTTAACTTACAATTTTTTCCTTTCTTGAGATTCTTCCCGTAATTAATCCTTTTGTTATTACGGATGAGATATCTCGCCAACACGATATCATTTATGCGACGCTTTATACGAGATATCTCGCGTCACAACTTTCGTTATTTGAAAGTGCTATAGACGAGATATCTCGTATACTTTAATTCGTCATCTAAAAAGTTAGAATAAAGAATCCATTTAAAGACATTTTATTGATATCTCGTCCATAACACAGCACAATAGAAATTGCGACGCAAGATATCTCGTCATTAGCGTCATCTCAAGCGACATTGTGATGGAGAAATATCTTGTTCTTGGTAACAAAAAGATTAATTAAATATATAAGTAAACAGACTGATTATCGACACATCTCGATATTAGAATTATTTAGTTTAACAAAACATGCGAGTAATTGTTTGTAATTTTTAAATTAAAATGGACCATTTATGTTTTCGCGATCAGCCATCGTTATTTTTCATCTGCCATTACGTATATGCTATAGTATATGTTGTTATGTTAGCTCCTCCTGAACTGTTGCTACGGGTAATAACCATGAGCGCGCGAAACGCGGTGGGCAGTCTTACGCGCGTAAGACAGCCCGATGCATGCTTATTCGCGGATCTTTGTTAATTAAAATCTTGGTAACTATCGCAAATCTAGCAAAATGGTATAGGACTGTTCGACTCAGTTTTATTTCTTCTACTTGCCTACGAGAGATGTTACACCAATTCTGGGACACCCTGTATATACATATATATTTATAGTAATAAAAAAATAACTCACCGATTAATAAATAACGTATAAAACATATATATTTTAAGATTACTGTACTGTTCTCAGTAATGTATATGATTACTGAATCAAACTGATATAGATATTTTCTTGTACACTGAACACTTATTTGTTAGCATTTACAAAACAAGAACAACTGGCGAGCAATGTATAAGAGCCATCACACTTACTCTTGTAACACGTTGACGTTACGTTATATATTGGTCGTGATCTTAGAATTGTACGTAAACTGAAACTTTATTCAACGCAAATAAAATTAACACGTTTATGCCACGTTATGTTAATTTTATTTATGTGTTGAATAAAAGTTAAGTTTATCTACGAATCTAAGGTTACAGTCAATACTTAACATAACGTAACATGTTACGAAAGGGTTGGCTCTAAAATGGC